TGCTGTAGTAAAAGTTGCCTCAGCTTTGATAGGCTTGTTTAAACGCCTGTGAAAGCCCCTATTGGAAGAGGCCCTCCAATGATTCCCGCCTACACAGGAAGTGACCAGTTTGTCTTTCACTCACGTTTAATTGGCCGACTTTACTGACAGCACTTGACTCAATAACCGTTTATGACCCGGGAGTTTTATGTGTTGTTTTTGGACTCGGCAGGAAACATATGAAGTTTGAAAGACGGTGAATTGGCAGAATGTGACTGAGAGGTTTATTGATTGAGGCACTAAAAAGTGCGATGGTGAAAGAACATGGTGTAATTCTGCCATGTAGAACTGTGGCAGCAATGTCTTATGTTAAGAAGACATGACTGGAAACTGGTGTTGGTTTTATGTGGAAATAGTGTGATAGTGTGTAGTGGGGAGGTCATGAGGAGGTGGATTCCAAATTTATGCAAAAAATGTCAAAAATGATCTAAAAACTTGTATAAATTATTGTTATTACTTACTAGATTTGTCCAAAATGTTGATTTGCAGGATGGAAACATTGTTCATTAACCCCCCCAACCCTCTATAAAGACATTTTATAATATTACAACTGTATTTTCCTATATTGTTATTCATTGTTTGTTTACACACCTACTTCCATGGCAAGAATTTCTGGTTCTGATCATTTGTTTTAAATTATTTTCTGTTTTTTACACTGCACATGATAAGGTAACACAAACTGTGCAGCTTCCAGTGACCAGGCTTGTGTTGGGTTTGGACACATTAGCAGATCTTCTGTCAGCATTGGGTCGGGCTTGGTTTGTTTTCTCTCCAGCTTTGAAGGGTTCATATGAAAAAATACAGCCCGAACTTTCTTCTGCTATATATGGCTTAGAAGGACTAGAATGAAGGAAAGTAACGTACAAGTATTGTGAGGGAACGCAAAGGTATCCCTCAAAACAATCCTCACTGGGACCCCTTGGGGCCCCCGTACTAATACATACATACAAAGAAATGCTAAACAAAGGGGACTATTGCCATTTGTTACCTATGAAACTGAAGCCAAGCAACTCAAATGAAACTTCACACCTCAAACATGAAATGAATTGAGTGTTTTTAGATTGGAGATGTTGACTGACTGAACAGATGTGTCACTATAGAATATCTGACTGTACGATGCAGCTTTTTTAATCAATTTTTTTAATTTATCAATAAAGTGAGACCGGCTTGCTTTTGCAAATAACAGTGAACTTTGACAACTCAGTGTCCGCTCTGTGAGGCATCTCTGAGATCATAGCAAAATAATGGAGCCAATGTTTGCATGAGTGTGTGTCTAAATGCTATGGATGTGAGAGTGTCCCTGGAGCAGGCTGATTGTAAGGGGTCAAAGAGTGTATAAACATATGCAGACACACGCACACATACATACACACACACGCACGCACGCACGCACGCACGCACACACACACACACACACACACACACACACACACACACA